TGCAAAATGGTTTGTATCGCTCAAACATGTATTACCCTCAGTGCATCACCCTGCTTTTCCTCGGCAGGGACAGGTAGTTGATGATAACATGGATGAAGTAAAGTACATGTTTTGCAGTGATGGGAATAACGGCGTTACTTTTTTCAGTAACGAGTAATCTAACTAATTACTTTGACTGTACCTATAACGCCGTTATCATTGCCGACGCCCCGTTACTGCGCGTTACTCAAGTCGCACAATGAACTTTTTTTCCTTCATGTTAGGATCCTGTTGTCATGAGAGAAGGGAGGATGAGAAAACCTCTCCGCTATTATTGGCTGATGTAAAACATATTTCCTTTACAATCTACATGTCTACAGTTGAGAGGATGACTCATAAATTGTGTTTTTGGAACAAATATGGGTCTTAATCGCGCTCAACCACGGCTTGTATCACCGTGAGGCCAGCCTCAGAGGAGCTCATGTGAGCGCAGAAGTCGGCTGCATACAATTCCATCAGAAAGCTCCTTTCTCTTCCTGGTTTATCTGCTAAGGACAGCAACAGGTTTGGCTAACATACATACAACACATTTTAAGATAAATTAAAATGCACTTAGGGTAATTTTTCAATGACTATAGGAATGATAAGAAAGAGAGGTGGGTTAGTGTAGTGTAGTGGTAAGTGTAAGACGGTTCATTTTAGAAATTGGATGCAGCCGGCTGCAGCTAGCAAAACAGAGGAGTTCATGGAGGACACACGCGTTTTGTTTTACTTTTTAAAACTCATTGGACTCATTTCCAAATGGAGGATTACATATCTACGCTCAAACTATTATCTGGACTTAAACACGGAACTGGTCTGAACTGAAGTGGCCTGTGCAGGTCATTTATAAGGTAAGACCCATAACTCATAGTTTTGCGTTTTGTATGAACAAACAATGCGGGCATGAAGCATATTCTGCTATAGCCAAACAAATTGTCCACTTGATTTATATGATATATATGTTCATCTGATTGGGCTGAAGTCAGTGCTTCACCGGTGTTTCCACATTCACAGTGGCAGGTGTTGGTGTTTAGTGCTTACAGCACAGAGAGAGATGGAGAGTGAACAGGACTTCAGCAGCAAAACAGCCTTTTCTAGATGGAAATATTGGCACTATTTCAAACTCACTGAGGTTAAAGGTAAAAATGCGTTCGTCGAGTGCACATTATGTTCCAGAACGAAACGAAAAAGTAACGCACTAGTTACTTTTACTGGTAACTAGTTACTTTTATAGTGGAGTAACTCCGTTAGTAACTTAGTTACTTTTTGGGAGAAGTAACTAGTAACTATAACTAATTACTTTTTCAAAGTAACGTGCCCAACACTGATGTTTTGTAACACAAGATGTGGAGAAGTTCAAGCTCTATTAATACAACCGCAATGTACTCAACCCGTTAATGCCTGACAAACCTGGTAAAACCATGGATCTATTATAATAACTGGATAGGGTATTGCTAGCTTGTAGCTGAATAACCCATGTGCTCGGGGGATTCTCGCGGTACTGCAGACTAGACTAAATTCACGTGGGCTACCCAGAAATTTTCCCCATAGAGCTCAATGTAAATTAAAACAGCGCAACCTCAGCTGACAGAGACCCTACCGCTTTCATAAAGGTCGGATTTCCTGGGGATTTTAGTGTCCCTTGTCATCCTGAACTTTTTTTCTTCTTAAATCTTTCGGTTTTCTTTAAATCCACACTTTACTGCCACAAACTCTGCTCGTCTGGCTCTCGCTCTAACTCCTGCTCTGATGAACTGCCCTGATTGGTCAGAGCGCGGCCGAGCCCCTCTGTGCACGTGCGTGAGACATCACACACGCGTGTTTGGCGCAACGCATTGTGGGAGATCATCCACTGCGCAGAACCGGGAGGACCAGACGATGCCCAAATACAAGCGAGTTTCCCATAGATCTTTGCGAGTTTCCCATAGATCTTTGCGAGTTTCCCATAGATCTTTGCGAGTTTCCCATAGATCTTTGCGAGTTTCTGGCAACTTCCGCTAATCTTTTCAGCCCCCATGCCGTCACAAAGCGCCACTGAGCACAACCATTCATTTGAATGGGGCGCCATCTTGAATCGCCGGGGCTTGGGTAAAACAGACCTGTAAAACCTATGGCCGACTGAAATTCCTGAAATTCAACGTCTCCTAAATGATTATCTCAGCCTCTGTAGCAGATAGAAACATATTTCCAGTGTATTATTATAAACCTACAGTGGAATAATACAAAAAAGTATACAACTTCCACACAGGAAAGATAATAAAACGACCACAAATAAGATTAATATTAGATTAGGAGATCCTTTATTTGTCCCACAGTGGGGAAATTGCAGTGTTGCATCACAAGTTATAGAACAGTAGGAAAGGGTAGCACACGGCACAAGTTAGTGAACAATAGCTCAAGACTTTCTCCACCGACTCCCACTGATGTTGTTGTGTCCATGGCAAGACACTTAACCTCTGGTAACACCAGGTGCCACAGTGGGGCGGCTGTAACGTGCCAAACTGCCATTGTGTCCTTAGGCAAGACACTTCACCCCCATTGCCTAGAATGAGTCTGGTGTGAATGGTTGGTGGTGGTCGGAGGGGCTGATGGCACATACTGGTTGCCTCGCTTCTGTTGGTGTGCCCCAGGGTAGTTTATCACCACCGTGTGGAGTGAATGAATAATGACATGTAAAGCGTCTTTGAGTGTCCAAAAAAGCGCTATATTAAACCGATTTTTGTATTATTATTATTAAGAGGCAAGTTTAAAGTACTGTGTATTCTAGTGCAAGCAAAGTGTAGTTATTTTAGCATCTGTACTTTCGGAGAAGTATGTTTACATCTGTACATTAGCAATGTGAGAATAACATATTTATCAATACATAGAGATAACAAGAATTGGGCAAGTGGTACTAACTGTGTGAAGAAAAGAAAAGAAAAATCCTCTCTCAGCCCAAAAGTCAAATAATTACTCAAAGGGCTCTTTCTGAAGTAAGCAAAAGACAGAAAAAGTGTTGTGGTTTGTTCTGTTTTAATTTGTTCACAACATTTTACTTTTGTGCACAAATAACATACATTTTCAATGCAAGCGAAAATGTAGATACCCGAGCTATAATTCAGTGATTTTGGCCTGCGCTTCATTTCATTGGTCAAGAGAATTGATCAATGAAGTGAATTGGTCAAAAAAGATGAATAGATTTATCCGTTTTCCCGGCCTCAAAGGTAGAAGTGCGCAACAGTGCCCCTAACCCTAACCCGGCTTGAAAGGTACAATACAATACAATACAATACAATACAATTTATTCTTGTATAGCCCTAAATCCAAACAGAAGTCATCTCAGAGGACTTAACAAAACCATCGAAATCACCAACACAGTTCAGAGAATCAACAGTTAAAACACATAAAGAATGTGTTTTAACATGTTAAAAAAAATTCCATACATGTTGTAGAACGTTAGTGTCCTGGATCATCACCACAGTCCTTCTAGTTGGACACTAACTGCCCAACAGACCCTCCTGCATCGGCAAGGAAAAACTCATAAGAAAAACCCAGTGGGGAAAAAGTGAGAAACCTCGGGGAGACCCACAAGTTGAGAAAGGGATCCGCTCCTCCCGGACGGACGGGCTATAGATCCAGGACCTAAGCTACAGAACAGGGACCAGTGGCCGTTGAACGTGGACAGGTCCGATGCAGGAGTAAAGCACTCCCAGGCGGGTCGGGCAGGGCAGTCCGCAGGTGTAGATGGTGGAGGCCATGCAAGGCCAAGGTAGAAATGTGATAATGCGTTCCCGGGCTCAATGGGTTAATTCTGTAATTCATGTGCTAGTTAGGTTTTTCGGTTTAAAATTGCTTTTTGTTAGGGTGTTATATAATGCCTTGTGGCCAAATTTATAGGAATAGGCTCCTTTTTTAAAGAGAACGAGAGGAAACCAAGATAACATATCGAGTAAATGATTGTTTAATTAGATCTCCAGGTTGTATGTTTTACTCTGGTCTAGGGAGCTGCTGTAGTGTCTGGGTCTGTCCTATTTCAAATGACTGGTTGTGATGAATGGTGAGTATTTGTGCTGGATAAGCTATAAAAAGATATAGATAGTATGTGTTACTATTCTGAAAGCATGCACTCTGTGCAGTTCTAGGTGCATCATTCCAAATGTATGTGTTTGTATGGAACTAGATTACATTGGCTTCCTTGACTTCAAAATAGGAGCAAATAACATTTTTCACATGTTGTCTGGCTATTATTTACTTGTTACTTGTTGTAATAATTTTTTTTTTTATGATGCCTGATATTGTTTGAAAGTGAACACTTGAACATTTCACCGGGGTCTTGCCAGATCTTATTATCAGGCACTCAGACTCTTTTGTCTCCAGTAACTCCCATCACTTTCCCACTATTTTTATGGACAATGTCCAACACATCCTGTTGTCTTATTGAGTGTGGGGCTAGGGGGAGTAGAGCGCAGGTTTTGGAAAAAATAAAAATAAATTTTACTTAAAATCCTATAATGTATGTAGCTAAAATAAATGATAGAACCCAAATGCATGGTTTTGAGGTGCAAATGTGTTATTTCCATATATGGAGATGGCTTTGGTGTTCACTCTGAACAGGAAGTGTGGGCTTGGTGCACTCGCTCACTGATTGGTCGCAGATTGAGGGGTAGCCCTTGTGTTATTCCAATCTTAAACAGTTCAATTATATCATGTGACCAAAAACCATATTGCTGTGCTGCTTTACCAAGTACTGGATGACATGAGCAGAGGCAAAAGTTTGAGACTCTTATTTCAATAACAAGAATGCAATATCATGACATTTAACCTGTTATGGCTGTTCAATAAGCAATGCTTATTTGCTGGCCTTGCTGTGATCCAATTCTGAGATCATTCTTAGTTCATTATGTATTCTTTGCACTTGTTGGAATCTAGATTCGGCGGACTCTCTGTCGGATATCTAGTATTCTTTCCCATGTGTCACCTGAAACTCTCTCCCCCTGTAGACGGTGAGCGTGCCAAGGACGTGCGAGCCATGAGTATCGAGATCCCGGTGGGGTTGACAGAGCTTCTGCAGGGCTACACGGTGGAGGTTCTGCGGCAGAGGCCCACTGACCTGGTGGAGTTTGCCGTTCAGTACTTTACCCGCCTCCGAGACACCCGGAGCCAGGACGGGGGCGGCACAGGGGCCAAGAAGGGAGTGGTATTCGATGGAGAGCCCATGCAGACAGATTCCAATGGGGAGGATGAAGATGATGACTCAGACTTTGAACGTGAGTACCAAAAATTTGGTTTTATTTTTTTAATAATTGTATAGATTGCTTAGAGCTGGTCCAGTGTCTGAAAGTGTTTTGGAAGGAGTAATGTAGAAACAAGAATGTCACACATTTGGTTTCATTCATGTATGTTTTATGCAGATTATGTGCATTTCAGCGTAGATAATCTAGGTGTTTTGGGCTTCAATGGCAGGAAGTCAAGGTGACAGTCATTGCTTTGTGTCCTTAATGAGCCATAGACCCTCTGATTGGTGTGTTCTTAAACATATTTTACCTCTATCTATATCTGTCAGATTTCACTCTATGATTTCTGATTGTTAATATAGAAATAGAAAATGAAGCCTCTTTCGTAACGATATTGGCGATATTGGGATAATGCGGTAGAAAAATTGCCTTGATATTGTTGTGGTCGTGTTAGAGTATTAGAACAACAATCTTTTGAAATAAAACAAGCAACTCCTGCGGAACCAAGCATTGTCATTGCCCATAATCCTTTGCGGCGCAGCCATCAATCTCCATTGTTAAGTCAGAAGCATTTGGTTTGGCCGTCTTGTGTGGTCAAAAACCTTACAAATTAGAACTATCCCACACAACAGCAGGCTCAAGAAATCACCATGTACATCGTTTTATGCATAGGATGTAATTTAATTATTTCCTATTGTTTACATTTGTTCTAGGTACTTCTTATCTTGAACACTGCACATAATACAAAATATTTATGTGCCCTATTACTACCAAACTGTGTGTTTGTCTTCCTCACTTAAGTATGTATTGTGAGCTTTTGTACGATGCTGTAAGCTGCTCCACAATATCGCAATAAATATTGTACCATCGCATTTGGATATATTTTTATTTATTTTTATCTAACCTTATCTTACCCTTTTAACTAGGAAAGTCCCATTGAGATTCAGAACCTCTTTTCCAAGGGAGTCCTGGACAAGTTACATACAGTCACATACCATTACAAATTATAAAAACAGTTGCATACAAAGTCATAAAATTACGGATAATAAAAACAGTTACATTTAAAAAAGGATGTCTCAAGTGCTCTCTATCTGGATCTAAAAGCATTCAATGACATAAATTCTGATAATTTCCAGTTTCCACCCCTAGTTACATCCCTAATTATTTCAAGTTGATCATGTATTGAATATGATCATATTCAAGTTTAAACTTTGCCAACTGTCATATCTGTTATTATTCCTCTTCAATTTAATTCAAAGGAATGCCCCTGGAAATTCTCCAACTTCAAAAAGCCTGTACATTTTCCACCCTTAATTACCCACAGCCATGGCCCCTTACTATTGATAAATGAACATATGACAGGAGTAGGTCTCACACCATTTAAACTCTGGGCCTGATGTTAGTACTTAGGCCACTGGAGTGATGCAGCTGTTTCTTGTTCTTGTTGCACATGACCGCAGCTTCCCGGGGCTGGAGCACATTCACACAGAGCTCTTCTCAGTTAAAGTCATGTGTTTTGGCCCTCAGCACTACTCATTTAATCCACTTCTTTTTTAGAATAACCAACAGATTCTACACTTTGTTTATCAGCTCCACGCCTCTGAAACTCAAACTCTGAGGGCATCAGAGTGTGGAGGCCTTTTTTAATTTGGCCTGACAAGCTTTTAATCTTTATTCGAAATTTGATGCATTTTATTTTTTATTTACCCCTAACCCTTAGGAAAATTTAAGGTGCATTATAATAAAATGTAGTATGATTTTTAAGTGCTGCTGATTATTTCTTGAGTGATATGGGTGGTAACATTTGTCCTGCATCCTTTGTCATCACGTCCCAAATGAATAGTTCACAATGTGTTTTGTTGTAATTTTGTTGTTGTAAGGTAGGCTGTTATAAGTTGATGCCCACTGGTTTACTTGAGTGTCTTAAAAATCAACTGTGATCAATGAGATGGACTCGTAAGTGCATGTGATGTACAAATATAATAAAGATGTAAAAATAGTTGTTAGTAGTAGATCTATGCTGTGCTAACTAGGGCTGCACAATATTTGAAATTAGAGCGATATGCTTACCCATTCTGACAGAAGTGATGTCACTCGTTTACTTTAAAAAAACTGCTATACGGCCCATGTACAGTCAGCTTACCGCTAACTTTACACTAAGCTAGCGGCAAACTCTTTCTCACCGCACAGACTTTAGGAGATCACCATGGCAACACATACCGCACAGCTGTCTGTTGTTGTGACGCTAATGTACATAAAAAATGTGGGTATTGGTTGGTCGGATTGGGTCTTATGGTATGAGTACGAGTACAAGCCTATGGTATCGACCCGATACCCATATCACATGCACAACCCACTAGCGAAAGAACAATCGAGGAGGCTTTGGGTGTAAGCTGCTACATCGCAAAATGGCAAGTGAATTAGTTTTCAGCTGTACTGAAGTAGTAGTTAATTAAGCCTGAGAGCAATTGTATTATTTGTAACATATGAAACCCTAAAAGCTGAAAAAAGCACCTTGAGCCGGACACTTAAGTTCAAATGTTCATGCATTTTACATTCTAATGGAAATCAGAATCATTTTTATTGCCACGTAAGTAACAGGAAGTCACAGACTTGGAGATTGCTTTGGCTCAGTGTAACAGTCAGAAAGAGAGGTAATGGTAGAGAAGGCATAAAAATAAAGAATGGCTTTAGAAGGCTTCTAAGGAATACATTTAAAATAGAGTTACAATTCCTATACAATATACAAGTGCACATGGTGCACACAATATACGGTGACAGCAGTACAGTGAAGTAAAGTGACGTATGATGGGCAGTAAAGTGACTTTATAAAGAGCAGTAGGGGACTTCTAGAGGGCGGGGGGACAGGTTCTTGTAGTGTTCAAGAGTCGAACAGCAGAGGGGGCGGGGGGACAGTGCTCTTCCTGAAGTCCACAATCATCTCCACTGTCTTCTGGGCGTTCAGCTCCAGGTTGTTAACACTGCACCAGGACACCAGCCGGTCCACTTATATTTTCATGAAGGTAATATATAATGGAAATTAATGTGTCTTTGGAATTGTGGAAAAAGTGCATCAATATACATTCAAAATGCATCAATAATCATTTTATAATCAAATTGCAGTGTCTGAATAGTAATCAAATCGTGAGGTGCCTCAAGATTCTCACACATAACGTTTAATATTCAGTCATTCCAATGTATTCAGTTTTCTGTTTTTGATTGATCTAACTGTTGATTTGGATTACATGTATCGAGCAGGCTTATAGAAAGATTAGCTTCTATAAAGCAGGAGATCTAAAGTTTTACTGCTTTGAGTTATATTTGCATAGTTTGCCCTCAAAACCCCAAGTCCCAAACTTACTGTGCAAACAGCTGGATGCTTTGGCCTGGTTCTGTTTAAAGTTGTCGTTGAATAAGCAGCTTGGAGCAAAGAGTGTTTTCAGTACAAACTGTTGTACCTCCATTGCAGTTCTACACATAAAGGCCAAATACCTCTGGGATTCAGTTGATCTTGTACGAAATGTATTAGAAGTTTTCAGTGTTACTGAGAATATGAAGATGAATTTGCTGTTTATGCATCCCAGACGTGTCTCTGTCATTTAAAATGATAGATTTTTGATAAAATGGGATTTTAATAGTTTTGTATTTTCCATAAGTTACTTTGCATGCCACGGTTTGCTTCTGTGTTCCAAACAGCTCATTGTCTGTCCTCAAATGACTTTGAATGAAATTGGTGATTTGTTTTAAGCCCTTATCTCAACAATTACTGTACATTGTTTGTGTTGAACATTTTCCCCAAGATTTAAAGATTTTAATTGCATTTTTAAGTTTAATATCTGAAGCCTTTTTGGAGCTAGCTGAGAGGAGTGGTGAGCTATTTGTAGCTTCCGACCCCTGGTCTAAGCTCCTGGGTTTTAAGAAGAGAAATTGATCACTTTTACTCATGCTCATGGTCTCATGGTCAATTGAGTATTATATTCCTCCTCTCGTTGTGCATTTAGTTGCTTGTACCAAGTGTAAAGCAGTGTTTAAAATGATTATTTTTATATACTGTTATTTCATTTTTTAACTGAAGATTTACATTCATGAAGGAATATAGCACAAATAACAATGATCCCTTTTGCACAGCACCATATATGTTTCAAAGAGGAGCTAAGCCTGTTAAGCACTGAATGAGGCGCCGAACTTGATGTGCCGTGTTAGAGGCATGTATGAAATAAACAATGCAAATTTGCCTTATGTTGGTACAAACCATTCAATTTGAACTGTACTTTTTACACGTGGGAAGTTTCAAAAATACTCTTATGTGCACAGTCACAAGGTTAAATGTCTTGTTGAATTTGGTTCAGATTTCACAAACGTCTTTATCTCTGTTGACCTTTCTTGTTTCACAGCTGCTTTGAATGAAGTTCTGGCCGTCAGTAGCTTCAGTGTGGTTTCCCAATTCCAGGCAAATATCAGATAAGAATTGGTGCATTCCTGCGTTTCTCAGCTGAGATATATCTTGTATGAGAAACTATATGGAAAATTTGATTTATAATTCTATTTCAATATAGATTTGAGTTTTTGTTGTGACAAAAACCATCGGACAATTGAAGGTTTTTAAAAAAAAAAACAGGTTTTGTTTTTTTGTTGTCAACCGTTTAATCCATACTTTTATGACATTCAAGTCCTCCTCTCGGTCTTTCTGAGCTGCTTGTCTCTGTCCTAATCCAATTGCATTAGTCTCTAGGAGGTTTATCTGTGGCCTGGTCCTTCCATCTCCCAGCTCCTTAAAGAACACCCGAAAAGTATGTTCTCACACTGCGCTCAATCAATGAACCAAACTACAGTCCAGCTGCCAAAACCGGTTCAGATCAAACAAGCTCCTGGCCACTTGTAACAGAACTTGCCAAACCATCTCAGCATGTCTACTCTGGTGACTGAGTGGTTAGCATATGGTGCCTTGGAGTTACATAATCTGCCTTACCTGGAATACAGGCTCATTACATTTACGGAGGACAATGGAAAAGGGTTTGGCACAGGGCTGCTGC